GAAACCATGGCAAAACTATATTAAATCTTATCAAAAATCCTGTTGAAACTATGCCGAAATGGTGAAACCTCAAAATGTGGAACTCTGCTGAAATTCTAATAAACAATTAATGTGTAACCTGCCGAAACCCTGCTGATTGATTTCTGGAGGAGTTTCGGCAAGCAACCTTAGACCATAATAACCATGAATTTCAGCCAATGATTCAACATGCTCAGTACTTAAATTTCACCTTTTTTTTCCATATAACCATCCACAAGTTGTCCAAATCCTTTCACAAGAAGCTGCATGTGGTGTAATAGCAAACAATTTTTTAGCCAATTGTTGAATATAATTAGGGTTTATTTCAATACATGACCATCAACCATATGGAATAATTAGACTTGGACCATATGGAATGATATAAGTATCCTGATTTTCTTTATGATTTACCAATTGACTCATTAAAGCTTTATCAGTTTCCAACTTTGAAGCAGAAATTTTGGTGATATGATGAATTCTCCAAATTTAATGCCAATACCTGTTTTCAGAAAGATTAAATGAGATAAAGAGATAAATATAAAATAATCAATCATTTCTTAATTTTTATTTATTTTATTTATTTACCTCTGAAACCTGGATGTAAAAAATAGAACAATAAATACTCATCAAAATCAAACTCCAAAAATCTTTTGTTTAAATTATTAATACAATGATTATGAAAATTTTGATGGCATTCAAGTGAAAGCTTATTTACAGAAGCTGTAAGTTTGACCAAACTAAAATAACATTCAAGCTTATTATGAGTCCTTTTACTAGCTTACCACCATAATTATGTCATGTATGTCTTCATAGAATCCTCTTCTTCGCAATATCACTTTTACTGAATTATTACTGATAATATCATGATGATTCAAGATTATCTTTTCAAGGTAAATATAATTAATTAAATTATATTTGATTTAACTATTCCTTATAAAAATTTTTTTTAAAAAAAGAAAATATTAACTACTCTTCAAAACAAGGTTACAAATATAAAATTGATGCTAAACATTCATGATTGTCATCTGAAAAAATACTTGATCAATTGAAATACAGATATGAAAGAGAAATAAACTGTGAACACAAATCTGCTATTAAGTTAATTGTAGAAGATGATGCTTCATCACCATTGCCCATGGTTCTTTGTGTATCAGAAATAATCGATGATAAACATCACTCCATCAACAACATTATCTTTGTCATCAACATCCTCCTTTCATATGATGAAACTCAAATTACTAATGGTTGGTATGAGATTGATGTATATATTGATCCACCATTACAACGAGCTATAATGAAGTCTAAGATAAAAATAGGTTGTAAACTTGAAATTTGTGGTGCATGGGTTCTGGAAAACATGATGGAAAAGTACAGGCATCATCAGCATTGGATGCAACAAGTCCTGTATATTTGAAGTTGTCAGGAAATTCGACAAAACTAGCTCATTGAGATTCCAAATTGAGGTTTAGAAAACTTAAGGTATTTGCCATGTTGAAGAGTCTTACATCAGATGATGAATCTGTTTCTGCAATTGATGTTATAATAATGTGAAAGTATCCTTTGCTATATTGTGAAACAAAGAAAGATAGGATATATATATATATATCATATATGACAAAAAAGGTGAAGAACAAGCTCAAAAGGAATTCAGGAGATGTCTGTTCTGTTGTTCCATTTTTAAAATGCGTGTATGTGATTATCATGGCCTGTCCAAATCTGTTAAAATTTTTGAAAGACAAGCATTGATCACTGTATGGAATCCTAGTATATAGTTCTTTATATGATTCTATTTATGAAGGACAGAGAAATCATATATGTTCATTATTGGTAGCCAATCACCAACAATATGATATGATTCATATTTATTATCAAAAATCACTATACTTTATGTTTAACATCAAGAGGAAATACAACAATATGAAAAGAGCCAAAATCTAATTTAAATCAAATTAGAAATTCAGTATATATAATCCATGAGTTGTTACAAATTGTGATGAATTAGATAAGACCCAATGTTCATATAGAGCATGAGCTAATACACTTGTCAAATATGGTTATAATTTGAGTGTTGATAGTGAATGTGCTTGTCATCAAAAAGAATATGGTATGTTATTGGTTGTATTGGCAATTGAGGAAGTTAAGAAAAAGATATTAGTGGAATTAGCATGGAAACACAAATTGCAATAGCTACAGATACAAGTGGACAGCTTGTATTCATTGAGTTCAGTAAATCACTTTTTATTAATCTAGGTGTTTTGTTGAAACCCAGGAGGGTATTGACCATAACAAATTTAAAACATGTTGATTATGACCTGTTGGTAAGTTTCATGTATTGATCACTTGTAATGAAAGAGAGGTTGAGGACTTCCCTCACAAAGATCATTTGTAACAAGCCAGAGCAAGGCTTGAATCCTGGGTGGAAGTCAACAAGCCAATTATTTGCATTTATGAATCTAATGCAAAAGAATTGTGCAAATTATTTTCACCTTATTCTTTTACTTGTTATCATATTCAATATCAATAAATTGTTGCATCAAGTTTATTTGTTGAATTCTATATACAATTTTCCACAATCCTTTACACTTTACACTTATTGGTTACCTTGTGAAAAGGACTGCCCAAAGAAAGTAGCAGATCAAATAAGTAAGATTCATGTTTTTTGAATAAGAATATCTGGAAACGAATTATCAGCATGTACAATGCATTTACCATTACCAGGGTTATATATAAAGCAAGAACTACTTTTGATTGAATTCCCAATTTGTTTTGGTGGTATCAAAAATCTAAAAAACTGCATTACCCAAGTAATGATATACAGGGATCAGTTATACAGTTTATAAAAATAAATAAAGAAATGATCATGTAATCCCCCAAGTACATTCCTTTTACCAATGTTCACTCTGTCTGGTTTTGTTGCAGCATGTCCCATATATTAATATTAATATGAAATTATTTGAACTCTTATAAATCAAATAGTACTATAGTAATTTTCGGCACAATCATTTTTGACAAGTTTGGTATGGATCTTCTGCATCTTACGTTGATCATTCACTATTTATTAGTTTCTTTAGAATTTTCCTTTCAAAAAAATTAAAATGATATTTTTAAAACCCAATTCAATTTTATTAATAATATTATTTATTTCACCTTTATTAACATATGCATTATGGCCTATTCCTCAAATTTGGTCAAAAGGGGGTCAGGTTCTTAAGGTTTATCCAAGCTTATCAATTGAATTTAAATTTTTAGATGAATTGAAAATAGCAGGAGAAAATATTTCTGAAAATGAAATAATGGATACTTTTTTGACAGCTCAAGATGATAATGAGGATGATGACAATATAAAAGCATCTTCATTAAAAGAAGAAAATAATGATATAAATGCTAATGAAGGACTTCCAGAACCTTATATTTTAATTATTCAAAATACAATGGATTTATGACATTCTAATTTTCAAGATCTAGATGATGATGATGAAAATAGATCTTAGTATTTATCTGAAGAAGAAAACATATTGGCTAATGATAGTATTATGAAAGGAAGGAAGAATATAATTCAAATGAATTGGCATCATCATTTATGACAGCATTATATAGTTCCAACTTGTAAAGAAAAATTTTTTATAATTACATTATTTTAGCTATACATATCATAAAGATTTCAGTCACCTCATTGATAATTTGTTCAAGTTCACTAAAATTATTTTTTATAATAAAATTAACAAAAACTAAATTTATATAGATTAATTTAATGTATGTATGGTTTTGTTATCTAATCATAGGTTTGACAGTTTAGGAGTTTTGCTCATAGCATAGGCAATTTTTGAGCTTTGCCACTAGCTTAGGAGCCTAAACTCCTGGACGAAACTATTTCGGATTTCCTAAAATAATTTCAGCTACCATCATTATTATGATGAACTTTGTTCGGTGAACCTCAAAGGGTGTGTTTCTGATCCCTGATGATGATAAATCAAACAATTTTTGTCATCTAAATGTCTATTAAAAATTAACATTTATTTGATCAGTAAAAACTGGAGTTATGGTTAATTGAAATGGCAATGATCGTGACCATTATCATTCTTTTAATAATAACTAGAGTGACGATGAGTGGCAATAACCACCATTCTTATGATAAATACTTACCCAGCAATTTCATTTTCATTTTTTTTCTTGTTTTCTTTTGGCATTTTGAAAATAAAAAAATAAAAAATACGTGTTTAAAAAAAAAAAAAGGAATCACATATATTATTATTATTGGCACTTGATGTTGTGAGGGGGGTTTTTTTTTGGAAAAATAATCTTATTTTTTAAAGATGACAAAACGTGAGTCTCCTAAAGAAGACATGCTAATAACTAACCAGAGGTACTTTTTTTTTTTAATTTGCATTGATATAATGTAGTGTCTTTTATTTTATAAATATTTTAATTGAAATCAAAACAGTCATTCCCACATATTTCTCATGTACAAAGGCTAATCTGACTTTGAGTATAATTTATTTTAAAAACATAAGATTGCAATTTTCTCCTTGTTCTTTCTTCTGATTGTATTATAATCCTTGGGTTCCATAGTAGATCTGATATAAATGAGTTTCATGTTATTATTTTTATATAGATAGGTAGTTCTATATACAAAGAAAAAAAATCAAAGATAATAAATGGACATTATAAATTATATAATGACTAACTGTTAAATTATATAAATTATAATCATAATTTTGGTCCCTGAAACATTGTTAATACAAATGTTCATTTTGTCTGATTATGTATAAACTATAAGATTTACAGCATAAAGAAAATTTGAAAAACCAAGGCATGAGAATGATTCTGAATAGTGGTAGTACTATTAGTAATTCTAGTGGTCAAATGGATTCAATTACAGTGGAAGAAGCTTTATTACCAGTTTTTGATATTCAGCAAAACACTGAATTGTTTAATCAGGAAGCAGATTTATCCTTATTGTTGTTGTTGTTGTTGCTACCGTTACCGGAATTAGGATTCAACGCTAATTTTTTGGCCGAAATACCCTAATTCCCAATCAAATCTATTTTGTTATTTTTATTCGTATAACGTCGAATTAGTTAACTTTATTTAGAAATTAACGTCGCAATTGAAGTAATTAAATTGCTGGATCGCAATGAAGTTGCTACTAATTAATTTAATTGTATATAAGAAACTCAAATTCGACATGCTTGTAAAATAACCTTGCATTAGTTTAATAACTTTGTAATAAAGTTTTAATTAACTTGGAAATAAGTCAATAAATTAGTTTTGACTAAATAAAACGTTTTCTTAAATCACTAAACCAAAATTATTCGCTAATACGTTAGTAGTAATAGCCAATTAATCCTGGATCCACATAATCATAAATTTATATCGTTATCATCAATTAATAAGCTCTCCCAAATAATAATTAGTGACACTACTACTTCTACCAATAAAACTGAAAAACTATCTGACCTTTGCTTTCTTGTTTAGATTGAATTAATGCTGATACTACCTTAACCAAAGAAATTTCCCTTGGATAAATATTACTATGGATTTTTAGTGCCTTCACTTTTGATTAATGTAGTTTTACTGATTTTGCCAAGCATGGTATTTAGATCCATGATTATAAGTGGGTAGCACACAAATAATTTGATTACTGGTTTCGTTTTTGTTTTCCGTGAAACAGAAGTCTTTTTTTGGGAAATTTCAATTTGATTTATAAAAATATTATTTATTAATATTATTTTTCGTTTGAACTTTCTCCCTTGAATTTAGCAAAAGGATAAATATTTTTTTTTAATCTCCAAAACATATATGAAAAATGGCCGAACTTAGTGCATATCTTATTTTTGTGGCTTTTTCAATAGTACTTGGTTCTTTTCAATGTGGATATCATGTAAGCTTCGTTAAATAAACAGATTACGAAGATTTTAAAAAAATCAAAAAATTTATGATAACTGAACTATATTAGATGGGCGAAATGAACATTCCACAAAGAATTATATCTTGTGAACCAATCCCTTCCGATGACTCATCAACTTCTATTAATGACTACACTTTACCAAGTTGCATACCAATGACACAAACACAATATTCTTTAGTTACTTCTATATTTAATTTGGGAGGTTTATTGGGATCTCTTATGGCTTCACGCATTGCCGATAATAAAGGAAGAAGATGGGCTTTATTAGTAAACTGTGTATTTTTCGCAGTTGGACCTACAGTAATGGGTTTTGCAAAAAATTATGGTGAATTGATTTTTGGAAGAGTTTTAGTTGGTATTGGAAGCGGTGTGGTAAGTGTTATTGTCATATTAAAATCAATTTCATGATTCAAGTTTCTAATTTAAAAAAAAAGCTTTATAATTAATATCTATCTATTTATTTAAGGTTCTTGTGGTAGTACCTATGTATCTTATTGAAATATCACCAATAAATTATCGTGGCGTTTTTGGTATGTGTATAATTTTTATGAGAAGTTAAATATAATATATATATGTTGATTTCCTTAAAAAAAAAAAAAGAGAATCAGAGAAACATTTGCTCATAAACAATGTTATTAATTCTGTTTATTTATAAAGGCGTGACAAATCAATTGGGACTTGTACTTGGAATACTATTTTCACAAATTCAAGGGCTCTACCTTTCTAGTGTTCCTGGTTGGCGTGTTATATTTTTAAGTGCAACAGCCATTTCTATCATTCAATTTGTATTTCTTCAATTTGCAGTAGAATCTCCACGTTATCTTTTGTCTAAACCTGCTGGTTATAACTCTGCGAAAAAAACATTACAATTACTAAGAGGTGATCTTGATGTCAATGAGGAGATTCAAAGATGGAAACAGGTAGACACTGAAGAAGAAACTGGTAATTTGATTCCTGTCAATAAAGGAGAGGAAGATGAAGAAATAGATGTAATAGCAGATGTTAACAATCATCATACAATCTCTTCACAACAAAATGATAACAGTGGTGAAATATCAGCTTCACTAAATGAAAATGCACCACAAGTAGTTTTTCATGCTCATAATCCAAATGAGAATTTTAACATTTATAAATTTATAACCAGTGTGCATTATCGTCCAGCTTTATATGTGGTATTGCTTTTACTAATTACGCAACAATTTTCTGGAATTAATGCAGTTATTTTTTACTCAACTGAAATACTTGCTAAAATCTTTCCAACTTCAAGCAGAGCCATCAC